TTGTTTCAATGTTTTCGTTCTGGTATAGAGGAAGATGCGCCACTCTCCGGAAGGCCTGCGCTCGAAAATTGCGATAAAATCGCTGAATTGGTCGAAAGAGACCGGCATAGCAGCAGCCGTAGCATCGGTCAAGAGCTGAGCATGAGTCATAAAAAACAAAAATTGTATGAACAATTGAAAATTCAATAAAAATACCGCAAGAATTTTTTGACAACCTATTATCTAGGTTCATTGAATTACAATGTAATTGTCAGAAGTGATTAATCCAATTTTCCAACCATCATCACATTTTCAGGTACACAGCATTATTTTATACACCGTTTCGACAGCACCCTTGCTCTGATATAATTGTAGTTGAACTCACCTTTGACGGATTAAAATTAAAAGCAGCCAAGTGTAAAATTTCAATTTCCATGTAATTCTAATCCTTTCAGAACTGTTTAACTTCGTTACAAATGCCACAAACAGTAGCGAAGAAAAGGGAAAATGGATTGAAGATATCTCAACAAAGAAACGGGTGTTTTATTAATCAAATCACATCGCACCTACGCCGCAAGCCAATGAGGTTAGAAACTTCAATAGAATCATGCTTTTTTCACCTCTAAGCCAGCACACACACTGGCATGCTTGTTAGAGTCCTCAACCCCATAAACGAGTTCGGATAATACGACAAATTTAATGCCATTTGACAGTTGACAATTAGAGAAATTGTCAAAGGGCACAACTCGCGGCACACGATTTAAGTACCAGCTATGGTGATTCGCTCGGTTGATGGTTCAATGCAACAACAAAGACAACAACAATATTGAATGGTAAATACAATGTGTGTGCATTTGCTCTTTTGGGTGAGCCTTTGTGCAAATTTTATGCTCAACATTCGGCTATTGTTTACCGAACTCGCTTGATGTCCAGTGTCCGTTTCGTCCGCTTAGTCCTTTTTGTTGCTTTCGCTGCTGGCACTGCTTTTGCATATGCGCAAATTTTTTCTAGCGACAACGAGCGTGCAAGTGAGCGGAAAACGGAAAGTGCCAACCTCTTAATTGACTCAAATGGCTGTACAAATTTGTTTCTATGAATTTTAGGGCAGAGCGTTTGTATGTACGTATGTGCTGGCCTTTGTGTGCTAAACCCATTAAAACTTATTGCGACCGTTTTGTTTTGCTTTGCTTAAAAGCAGTAACAATAACAGTGTAAATGGCAAAAGTGACTAACGGTGAATTTCGGAGCGCGGAATTTTAAAGTGAACGCAATTAAATTTGCCAAATTGTCAAACAATGAAATGGGTAAAATGTACAATGACAACTAGAACAGAAGGTACAACAGCTAACTGAGTGATGTATGCAACAATAAAAACAACAACAAAAATGGATAGAAACACTGAGTACTTAGGGAACGGTTGAATTTTTACTTATATTCCATTCTTATGGTACTTTTCAGTGTACCGTTTTGACTGCCGACATACAGTACGTATGTATGTATGTACTTGTAGTTAGAGAAGTAAGTTTACTGATGAAGAATTACGAAATAAAACAATTTTGGGGAACCAAATACACTTAAGGGGTTACTTTTGTTTCCTTGAGTTACAACGGCTTATTTTCAAGAGTTTTTTCATATAAAAAAAGAAATATTTTATTCAAAATTTCCAACTTCAGAGAGACTAATTGTCTGTGAGACTGTGGGTAAAACAAAAACAGTAAAACCTTTTAGTTTAAATTTCGCGTGAAAACCCATTCGTTGAAATATTTTTTTCTAGGTTGCCCACCTGTCCCAAATATCACATGAAAATAATGATTAGTGTTTAGTATACGCTTGTTTTTCTGAAGTATGTACATAAAGAGCATTCGGCGTTATTTGAAATTAGTAAAGTTGTTCTACAAGGAAGTTCCATTAAATATCTGGTGGCGAAACGTTCAGAATGTTGGAAAACGTTTTCGGTGATAATTATTTGTAGCGAACAAGTGTTTAAGATTGGTACAAATTATTCAAAGAGGATCGAGATCGCGTTGGAGATGATGCACGCTTACTGGTATCGTTATAATATAGAAAGGATCAATGAAAACAGTTTTGAAACATTATTTGGGTCTAAGAAATGTGAAAGTATTGTTGATTCCAAAATCACTTAATTTTGTTAACGTTTGTGAAACAATGCTTTCCGATTTCGTCATGAAAGGAAAAATTACTGGCGATGACTCTTGGATCTATGCTTATTATCCCGAAACAGACGATCAATTGGCCGAATATCGTGGTAAAGGTAAGCCGACTTCGACCGGTGGCCGACCGGTGACTTCTGGCTATTCAGAAAACTCAAAAGCTCCGGAAAACTGTTTTGAGTCAATTGAACACATTAAACGTGAATCGCATTGAAGGCTATTCCGGAAGTTTACTTTAACAACTATTTCGAGGATTGGAAAACACGTTGAGCGGGACGACATAGATCTTGATGAATAAAATTTTAAAATTATTAACAAAATTTTACTATTTTTTTCTCATGGTAGTATTTTATAAAGATTTTGTGCAAATTTCATATTGTCTGAGCATGTAATGAAGGTAAAGCCGGAGCTAGGTTTTTATGTTATTGTTATTCAAACGTGGAAGACGGTATCAAGTTCTATGAAATGAAAAATAGGCTGTGTCTTCAACCAGCTGTAGCATTATCGGTTATTTGCAAATCTACATTTTTGTCTGGAAATACCAAAAGAAGATATGACTATAAGTTCGCATCAAGCTATGGACATACCTTCAAAATTATTTCCAGCTGATATTGACGCTAGCAATTAACATATGAAAATTATTTATTGAGTTACAAAAATATATGTAAAGAATTTCGTTTCCCCACAAACCCCTTTCCTTAATTACTTCGGCTCCTTTCGGAGATCTTTGGTCTGTATACATAAGATGCCCTAGTTGATGTCTGATTTCGATTAAATTATGTGAAAGGATGTTTATATGGATTTATTTGGAAACGCAGATTTGATACTTGATTAATTCGATCTGGAAAAATGGAATTCAAGTACAAATAATTGGCGTTTAAAACTAAGTTAAGTTTTTTAACTTGAAGTTTTGGGAATAATCTCATGTCGACTGCTGTAATATACATATGGACGTGTTTTATGGCAAGCATTTTTAAAGCATAAATTAGTTTGAACATTGGACATTACTCTCTGAGCTACCACTCAGATAGAAGGTATTGATGTCGATGAGAATGGATTATTACAAAACATGATTCTGTTACTATAAGTGAACATACATGAATGGGTAATAAATCATAAAATGTAACTATATCTTGACATATAAAACATAAAAGTTAAAAAAAAGTTAAGATAGTTCTAAAGAATAAATAGTTGTAAAATTTGCCAAAAGTTTGGAATTATATAGAACTTCCACTGACACGGAATATACTGCAACCGATAACTGCAGTTCTCCCGTTTCTTTATTCAGTAATCTTTGCATAATCAATGCCGAGCACTCGCTATTCTCCCTTTCACCCGCCCCTTATCGTGACGTCAACATTTACAATCTAATTTTGTTTACACTTCTACTTTATCGAATATGTTCGATTTTTATCGCGAAAACGAGAGGATTTTCACAACGTTGTTGTAATATGCGTTCACAAAGTGCCGCTGGAGTGAACGGAAATTGTGCTGCTGACCTGATTTCTAGCCTTAGTTACTGCTTACTCTGCAACACTTTGCGAGCTTGCAACTAACACCAATAATACCAACAAGAAAAACCAAAACAATAACAACGTCGATAGCAATATGTGTGTATGTATATAACAATGTCACGATTTCCATGACTACATGCTCGCACCCGTAACAGGAATGAATGAGCCGGCTCATGGAGCGCTTCTACTCCGTTATGCGTTGTGGTAAGCATGTGTTGCAAGTGCATGTGTTGCAAGTGAATGTGTGTTTGCGCGACTGTTTGATGAACATTTGCAAGCACTTTTGCTAATGGGAAATTGCATTGGTAACATGTGTTTCCCTTGTATATCGCCCACTCGCCCTCTCCCTCACTCAACCACTCTGTCATTCACCCGCTATCCACTTGCCGAGCAAGACACACTCGCGTGTGCTTGTTTGTGTTGGTTACTTGCTTGGCTGGTGATGATGCTCAAAGGATTTTCGTGCTGATGTGAGAATTATATGAAAGCATTGTAAATTGCATGTCGGCGCACAAAGCTCTGATCAGCTCTGAGCACCGGCAGCTCGAATGGCATTGTAATGCGAATAGTTTCGAGGGAATTTAATTGAGTTGTTTGCTCGTCGGGCGGAGCTGCGCTGCCGTGCAGCAACTGCGGCTACTAAAGTAAAAGTAGCATGACCCAAATTGGTTGGCTTAAGGCGGGTCCTGATAACAATACACGCCACGCTCGTAATTGTTTTAGGTGAATAGTTGCGAAATCAAACAAACAATGGCAGTTTTTCAACGCTCCTGAAATGTGATTACAAAATTAGAACATTTGTACTAAATGGACCGCGGATGGTGTGAGCACTATTTAAATTTGAACTAACATCTTTAACACATGCACAAATTAAACTAACGTGAGTTGGAAAAACTGAGGAGAAGGATTCAAATACGAATCGACTAACAAAGCATGTTCAGGGTCCTTTAGTGTACGAAAATCGCATTTCAAAGTATATAAGGTGCTCAAAAATTATCTCAATAACCTCCCAACTATGTAACACGATTTTATCATTATTGGTTACCGATTTGTATAGCGTTCTACCGGAAAAAATATATAGTACAGTAGAATCGCGCAAAAGTTAACTCGCGAGAAAGTTAAACCTTCGGCTAAGTTTACCGATTTTGTTAACTTTGGGTTAACTTTTTTAAGCGTCTCTATTTTTTCAAACCCAACCGTTTGTTTGGCAAGAAAAACAAGTTCGGGCATTCCCCTCATTGCTATGTATTCCCCGAATTTCTATGTAAGAAATTATAGTCGGTGTCGCGAGGTACATACATACATACGTGGTGTGTCATGAGCGTTTAAACTTGCGAGTTGTTGTTTATGGTTAGTGTGTTAAAAAATGCCAACAAAGCAGAGAAAATCACTGCAAATCAGATTAAATTTGCATCAAAAAGCTGAGATTTTAAGAAAACTCGATGAAGGTATTCATGGAAATCAATTGGCGTTGGATTATAATGTATCTAAGGCGGCCATCTCAAAAATAAAGAAAAAACGTCATGAAATTTTGGAGGCAGTGGCAAACACACATGAAGTTGCAACCAAGAAAACTTTACATAAATCGGAATATCCCGTTCTTGAAGCAAGGTTGTATAAATGGTTCTTAAGCCAAAGACAGCGTAGTTGTGCAATGAGTGGTCCAATTTTAAAGGCAATAGCCGAGCTCGAATTTGCCAAATTGCACACAGGAAAACAATTTCATGCAAGTGATGGATGGCTTGCAAATTTCAAGAAAATATTCGGTATTCGCCACTTAAAAATTTGTGGGGAAATCCACTCAAGCGACAAGTCAGGAATAACACCATCCATTCATAATTTGCGGGCAAAAGTGAAKGAAATGGAAATTTCGGACATGCAGCTTTATAACGCAGATGAATCTGGATTATTTTATCGTTTCCTTCCCGATAAAATATTTGTCGGGGCAAACGAAAAGACGGCACTTGGCCGAAAAATAGCAAAGGATAGAATCACATTTATGTTGTGTGCGAACGCAGATGGTTCGCATWAGTTGAAACCATTGATAATTGGTRAATCCGCAAACCCCCGTTGCTTCAAGGGGTTTGAAAACCCATTGGAATATGCTAACTCGCAAAAGTCTTKGATGAATTCAGAGCTATTCTTCCGCTGGTTCCATCATTCCTTTATTAAGCAGGTAAATTTATTTTTTCTATCCTTTAAAATTTTTAAGTGTGCCAAAATATTTGTCAGGTTCGCAAATTTTCTGCTGAAAATAATTTACCACCAAGGGCATTATTGCTGATTGACAAAAGTACTGGACATAAGCCAATTGACAAGTTACAGTCAGATGATGGAAACATTGCGGCAATGCTTTTACCACCTAACGTGACAGCTGTTTTGCAGCCTATGAATCAAAATCCCATAAGACTGGTCAAGTTAGAATACCGGGCTAAACTGTTATGGAACATTGTAGCACAAGAAAACATTCCGGTTGAGAATATTTTGAAAGGACATTCAATTCGTGATGCCATCTTGCTGCTTAAATTGCCATGGGATGATTTGTCAAGAGCTGTGCTTATAAAAGCTTGGAAAAATATAAAACATTGGGACGATGATCAATACGACAGCGAAGACGAAATTCCATTGCTTACATAATCAATGTACAAATAGTTCTCACGATGATACACTTCGAGAGGTACAATCGTTATTGTCCAAGGTGGGTGGTGTTGACGTCAGCAGTGAAGATATCGAAAATTGGAACGACGATCAAAATACGGAAGATGATGAAGATTTCGAAGTGTCTGACAATGACGATGAAGAACCAGTTGTCGAGGAAGATATGCAACAACAGAAAGTCAGTTTTTCCGAAGCAGTTGAATGCAAAGTGGTATAAAAACAATAATGATGCAAATCGGATATCATATCTTATTAATATGCGTACGAAAATAGGCAGGAGCTATAACACAAAATAAAAGAAACAAACAAGTCCCGACCGCTTCTTTAAACCAGCCCTTACAAATTAATATGTACATATGTATGTATGTATAATGTGAAAAAGTACAAACTAAATCTTAGTTTATGTTTTGTTAAGAGTAAAAGTCAGTCATGCAAATAAATTGAACGTATTATATCACCAAAATTATGTTTATTTCCGGTTTTTTTTTTTTTTCAAAATCGAAACCCCTTTGGAAAAGTTAATATTTCGGAAAAGTAAAACACCCTTGGGACATTTTGGTTAACTTTTTCGCGATTCTACTGTACTAAAAGGTAGTCAGATAAAAAATGTGGAGTAAAAGCGCTGATGATGGACGATGACTGAATAAAGGTAGAAGGACTGCCGAAAATTTTTTTAAAACAAAGAATTGGCTAAGACAAAGAGAGTGAGACAAGTTTATAATACCTAATACCTGTGTTCAATGGAAAGCACAAAAAATTATGTTTTAATACATTTTTATTTATATATATCGTGTAATAAAAAGTATAATTAAAAGTTCCAATATTATTGAAATCTCTTGCAAATTTAGCAGCTAAAGAGTTAAAACATTTAAAGTTTTTCCAGTTTAAGCTGCTCTAAGAGCACTAAAAGGACTTACTTCAGGCCATTATCCACTTTTTATATCTACATGACCTCCTGATCAGAAGTGACCAAAATTTACCTCCGGAATCCCACGATAAAAACAAAAATAATAAGTAAGGCTAAAGTCTGCTAGACTACAGAAAATCGTAACAATTATACTAAATTTAGGGTAATTCGCGGATCGTTTTTGTGCATTAAATTATAGAGCATCCAGTATTATAATGTGTGCTATAAATTTAAGCCCTGCCCTGTCTTTATCTATTTTTTGCACAAGCATACATTAATATCACAAAACTATTCTCTTCGAAGTTCATTTAGAAATCTTATATATACCGGGGGCTCGATAATATTTACATAAGGTATATAGGAGCTAGTGGAAGTACTAAAACAATTTTACCCATTTTCGACGCAAGGGGTTGCTTTTTTCATAAAAAGATTTTCTCCATATTTTAATAATATATCTCGATATTTTCTGTAAAAAAAAGCCAGCCATTGCCGCTGGGGTTCACATATTCGGAACCAGGGGTTTTGCACAGTTGTAGTAGGATTTTGAAAAGTTTAGGAATGGGTGATCCAAGTAGATGTGCCTTTTTCAATAGCCGTTGACAGATGACGCGTGATCACCGAGCGATGAGGCCCGTTTCTGGCTCAATGGGTATTTAAACAAACAAAATTGAGGCATTTGGGACTGCTCTTCGTCCCCTGACCTGAAGAGATTCAAGACCTGCCATTTCACCCAGAAAAAATAACGGTTTGGTGTGGTTTATGGCCGGTGGAATCATCGGCCCATATTTATTCAAAAATGATACTGAATGAGAATGTAACCGTCAATGTCGACCGTTATCGCGCCTTAATAACCTACTATTTAATGCTTGAAATTGAAGCTCGTTATCTTATTTCGACAATCAATAGATTTATTAAGAGAACACTTCTGCCAGTCATCGAAAATTGGATGATGGATCATCTGAGACGTAGCCGCGGCTAAGTGATAATCTTCAAAGTATAAACAAATAATGTTTTTATACCCTGAACAGGGTATATTGAGTTTTCCACGTTTTCCGCCATTTTCTCTTCAAGAAACTGCTCATTTGTCGGAACTGCCGTTATCGAACATGTAATATATATATGTAACATATAGCTGCCCACGCCCTGACGGAAGAGAAGGACGATGTGACCAAAGATGCCTTTTATGAGAGCTTGGAAAGCACTTATGAGAGCTGCCCCCGCCACGATGTCAAAATCGTGCTTGGCGACTTTAACGCCAGGGTGGGCAAAGAAGGTATCTTTGGCACTACGGTTGGTAAATTCAGCCTCCACGAGGAAACATCCCCAAATGGGTTGAGGCTGATCGACTTCGCCGGGGCCCGAAATATGGTTATCTGTTATACTAGATT